AAAGAAAGTTTCCTGTGAGGGGGAGGTTTAGGGGTAGGGTTGGTGTAGGACAATAGAATATACGGTCTGTACATTAGAAAAACCATTACGCCTATGGAGAGTCCCCACAAGGATAGCTGACCAGACATGTGTGTGTGTGTGTGTGTGTGTGTGTGTGTGTGTGTGTGTATGTGTGAAGGTGGATTTGAGCTGTTAAGGAAATTTTTGCATTAATGTGTGTTTGGGGCAAGTTGTCACATTTAAATATTTTATTTTATAAGTAAATAAAACAGATTATTGGAGTACATTTTACAAGAAAATGCTGATTCACTTTTTCTACTTTAAAATTTCATGTTTAATTCAATATGTTACTTGCTGATTTTTTGTTTATTATTTGTGAAATTTGCTAGCAATTTCAATTGTTTCTACGCCTATTTTTTTCAGTGAACTTTTTAATTGTAAGCCTTTCATTTTAAGTGTGTGTTAGTTTCTCTGGTTCCATACAGTTGGTTATCGTTGCTGGTGTGTTGGTCACTAACGCTCCCGTTGTGTGGGTTTGAACAGGGCAGGTCCCGGAGGATGAGGAGGATGAGGAAGAAGAGCGCGCTCCGGAGCGCACCTGTGCCGTGGCCAAACCGGTGTGTGTGAACGGGACAGAGTCGGCTGCACTCAAGCCCAAATCCGAGCGGCGCTCCAGCTCTTCCTCCAATCCCTCCAGGAAGGGCATCTCCGCCGCCAGCAAGATCCGCAAGCTTTCCACCTGCAAGCAGCAATGACCCGATGCTGCGCTGCACACCTGCGCTCCTCTGTACAGGTGAGACTCTCGTCATGGGGATCACTGTGAGCGTTATGGGGTCGCTCAGTTAGATATTTAATGTTTCTGAAAGAAGTCTCTTCTGCTCAACAAGGCTGCGTTTGTTTGATTTAAAATACAGTAAAAATAGTGAAATATTATTACAATGTAAAACAGCTGTTTTCTATGTGATTATATGTTAAACTGTAATGTATTTCTGTGATGCGCAGCTGTATTTTCAGCATCATTACTCCAGTCTTCAGTGTCACATGATTCTTCAGAAATCATTCTAATATACTGATTTGCTGCTGAAGTATTTCTAATCGAGCATATTAATTAAAAAAATGTTTAATTTTACATTTATATTAACATTTATATTAATAAAAAATTTGTATTAATAATTACATTTCATTTTAATTTCCTTAGTTAACATTTCTGATTTTTGTCAATGTTGAAAACGGTTCATATTTGTGTGGAAACCGTGATACATTTTATTTTTCAGGATTCACAGATGAATAGAAAGTTCTAAAGAACAGCATTTATTTGAAATGTAACACCATAAATGTCTTTACTGTCACTTTTGATCAATTTAATGCGTCCTTGAATAAAAGTGTAATTTTTGTATTTGGTAGTGTTTTCAACATTGATGATAATCAGAAAGAGAGTGTGTGTTCAGGGTGGGGTTCCTCTCATGCTGATGAGATGCCGCAGTGAATGTGATGACTCAGTCTCCCTCCATCACATCATCTCTCTGTCTCTCGCTCTCTCTCTCTGTCTGTCTCTCTGTCTCTGTCTCTCTCTCTCTCGCTCTGTGTCTATGTCTCTCTGTCTCTCTCTCTCTCTCTCTCTCTCTCTGTGTCTATGTCTCTCTGTCTCTCTCTCTCTCTGTCTCTCTCTCTCTCTCTCTCTCTCTCTCTGATGGAGCTGGTGACTCAGACTCTTCTCTCTCTGCGTGCGTCTATATTTAGCGCTTTCATCTTCAGCTCTCCTCGATTGGATGCAGTTGGATGGAAACCTGTTTACACTTTCACCTCGCAACATGTGGAAATTGCAAATGCAAAGGCATTATATCGCATTGTGTAACGAGAATAGCATGTAATGAATCAAAAGCAGATCACGCTGATGTTTACAGGTGAAAGAGAGGGCAAATGATTGGTTCATATTTCACCAAAAATAAATTATAATTCATATAAAGAAAATGAAGCCTATTTTAACACCATTATTATTTTTTTTGCATTAGGACATTGAGTTTCAAAAGCCCCTTATGATGACTATTAAATCAAGGCCCGAAACCATGACATGGAGCCGCTTTTTGGTGGGCTCACCACCTGCCGGAGAGGCCGTAGGGGGCTGGTGCGTTGTGATTTGGGCAGTGGTCGGGGCCGAGTGCCTGGCCGACCCAAACCTCGGGTGCCAACTCATAGTTGGGCTCACTTCCACTCACAGCTTGGGTTCTGGAGCCTCTCTTCTCGACCAAGGGTGGACTCTCCACTATTCTGCCGTTGCACAAGGTGAGAGGCGGCGGGCTGGTGTGGGCTTGTTAATAGCCCCCCAGTTCAGCCACCATGTGTTGGAGTCCACCCCGGTGAATGAGAGGGTCGTCTCCCTGCGCCTTCGGGTCAGGGAACGGTCTCTCACTGTTGTTTGTGCTTATGTGGCAAACAGCAGTGCAGTGTACCCAGCCTTTTTAGAGTCCCTGGGAGGCGTGCTAGAAAGCGCTCCCACAAGGGGCTCTGTCGTTCAACTGGGGGACTTTAACGCCCACGTGGGCAGTGACAGTGACACCTGGAGGGTGCGTGATTGGGAGGAACGGCCCCCCTGATCTGAACCCGAGTGGTGAGTTATTATTGGATACCTGTGCTAGTCACGGTTTGTCCATAACGAACACCATGATCAAGCATAAGGGTGTCCATCAGTGCACGTGGCACCAAGACACCCTAGGTCGGAGGTCGATAATCGACTTTGTAGTCGTTTCTTCTGATCTTCGGCCATATGTCTTGGACACTCGGGTAAAGAGGGGCTGAGCTGTCAACTGATCACCACCTGGTGGTGTGTTGGATTCGATGGTAGGGGAGAGGGCTGGTCAGACCTGGCAGGCCCAAATGCATAGTGAGGGTCTGTTGGGAACGTTTGGCAGAGGCCCCTGTCAGACAGGTCTTCAACTCCCACCTCCAACAGAGCTTCAACCAGGTCCCGATGGAGACTGGGGACATTGAGTCTGAATGGACTATGTTCCACACCTCCATTGTCGGGGCGGCAGTTCGGAGCTGCGGCCGTAAAGGCTCTGGCGCCTGTCGTGGCAGCAATCCCCGAACACGGTGATGGACACCGGAGGTAAGGGATGCTGTCAAGCTGGATAAGGAGTTATATTGGGTCTGGCTGACCCATGGGACTCCTGATGCCGCTGACGGGTACCGGCAGGCCAAGCAGAATGCAAAAACTTGGGCCTGGGAGGAGTTCGGTGAGGCCATGGAGGAAGACTTTCGGTCGGCCTCAAAGAGATTCTGGCAAACCGTCCGGCGGCTCAGAAGGGGGAAACAGTGTTCCGTGGTGGAAGAGGTGCATTGCTGACTTCAACTGAGGATGTCGTCGGGTGGTGGAAAGAGTACTTTGAGGATCTCCTCAATCCCTCCAACACGCCTTCAGTAAAGGAGGCTGAGGCTGGGGACTCGGGGGGGGGCTCGTTCATCACCCTGGCAGAAGTTGTAGAGGTAGTCAAAAAACTCCGCGGTGGCAAGTCTCCGGGGGTGGATGAGGTCCGCCCCGAGTTTCTCAAATCTCTGGATGTTGTGGGGCTGTCTTGGCAGACACGCCTCTGTGGCGTTGCGTGGAGTTCGGGATCAGTGCCTTTGGACTGGCAGACCCCGGGGTGGTGGTCCCTCTTTGTAAGAAAGGGGACCAGAGGGTGTGTTCCAACTATAGGGGGATCACGCTCCTCAGCCTCCCTGGGAAAGTCTATGCCAGGGTACTGGAGAGGAGAATCCAACCGATAGTTGAACCTCAGATTCAGGAGGAGCAATGCGGTTTTCGCCCTGGCCGTGGAACACTGGACCAGCTCTATACCCTCACTAGGGTGTTGGAGGGTTCATGGGAGTTTGCCCAACCAGTCCATATGTGTTTTGTGGACCTGGAGAAGGCATTCGACCGTGTCCCTCGTGGCATACTGTGAAAGGTACTTCGGGATTATGGGGTTCAGGGCTCGTTCCCTGTATGACCGGAGCAGGAGCTTGGTTCGCATTGCCGGCAGTAAGTCAGATCTGTTTCCGGTGCATGTTGGACTCCGCCAGAGCTGCCCTTTGTCACCGATTCCGTTCATTATTTTCATGGACCGAATTGCTTGGTGCAGCCAGGGAGCAGAGGGTGTCTGCAAGATATCGTCTCTGCTTTTTGCGGATGATGTGGTCCTGTTGGCTTCATCAAATCAAGACTTGCAGCGTGCACTGGAGATGTTTGCAGCCGAGTGTGAAGCGGCGGGCATGAGAATCAGCACCTCCAAATCCGAAGCCATGGTTCTCAGTCGGAAATAGGTGGATTGCCCCCTCCAGGTTGGGGGGGGGATTTGCTCCCTCAAGTGGATGAATTTAAGTTTCTCGGGTCTTGTTCACGAGTGAGGGAAAAATGGAGATGGTTCTCACTGCAGAACACAAGATCCAGGGGGCGAGGTTGGATCCAGATCCAACTCCTCCCACCTTATATATACCTAAACCTACTCGTCTCCACCCCCTAGATGTGGATCCAACCCCGCCCCCTGGATCAGTGGAGGAAGATGAGATGAGACATTAATGAGAATTAGCAGTGAAATCTGCTGAAACTGTTGTTTTTTTTTTATTTCATTGCAATGTAATAATGTAACTCATCCTGTCTGCATACAATTTTTTTAAATATTAAAATTAACTAATTAAATTACACATTACAATTACTACTAATCTGTATATGTAAATTTACTATATATATATATATATACTGTATATGTGTGTGTATCATATTTTTTATATATTTATCATATTTATAAATATATTTTTTCCACATCAGTTACATATTTTCATTTGAATGTTAATAAATATATATTTTTCATTACTAACATTAATAAATATATTTATATATTTTTTACATTACTGTAAAATAATGTCATATTTTCATAATTATATTTTGCATAGTTTCTCTATGTACATTGTTTTTGTTTTCGTTTAGATTTTTGGATGCGATATGATGGTGTTTTCACTAGTACATTTCACAAATAATAATTACAAAGAAACGGCAAGTAATTGAACACATTATAACAATAACACATTTTGAGTAAGAGTTCTTCTCTTAACGAGACGTTTCCTCATTAGCGCTCATTCTCTCTCTCTCTCTGTTCTCTGCAGGTTTATGTCGTTTCCCAGCAGTCAGTTCGAAACGCTGTTTTTTCGACGCACATTTCTGCGGTGATGATGAACTCAAACACAGTGCCAGGACTGACTTTACTCGAGAATGCTGTTAAAGAGTGGAGACGTTTCCCACAATCCTCCTCCGTGGCTGAGGATCATCCATTCGGTTTCTCTGGCGCTCTCGGATCAGACCCGACCTTCCGTTTAGTTTTAATTTACAGTCATTACCAGCCGTTAAAGATGCAGATGGTTTGATGTAAAGAATGACACAGAGATCAGTTACTGTAGAGAAATATGCTGCAGATGATGATGTTAAAACTAAACTGCATGCTGTGATGTGGACGGAGAGTTTGGACGTCTGGGTTCATTTTCCCCATTTGGTTTGTTTTTCCCGTTAAATATTTTTTAAGTATTATTTATATAAAACACATCCCAACTGAAGCTGAGCTCGTGGTCTTTATTTGCATGCGTTTCGCTGGAAAAAAGGGCTTTCACTGCGAGAAACACCTGCGGAGTCGAATGTATGGACATTTATTTTTTTATTACCGTTTCTTCCACGAAAAAAAAAATTATAATTTCTACATTTTATCTCACAATTTGAACATTGTTCCTCACAGAATTGCGAAGAAAAAAGAAGAGTTTTTTCTCTTATTTTTTAGTTTACATCTTGCAGAATTTCCGCAACAAAATTGAAAAGGTAGTTGCGACTAGTTTTTCTCGCGATTGCGAGTTAACATCTGGTTATTCTGACTTTTTTTTTTTTCGCAGTTCTGACTGTTTTTCTTACAATTCTGAATTGACATCTTTGAATCCAGTTTTTTTTCCCCTTTAAATTCTGAGTTTATATCTCACAAATCTCACAAAAAAAGTTTTTTCCTCACGATTTTGAGTTTGTCCCGCAGTTCTGATTTATTTTTCCCCTCACAATTCTATGTCGGAGTTTTTTTCTCCAAACTTCAAGAAAAAAAATCAGAATTGTGAGAGAAGTCGCAAATATCTGCAAACATTATATTGTGTTTTAATAATTATGAAAATATGCAATGCATTACAATTATATTATGAATACCTTTGTTGTATTATACATAAAGGCCTCGAGTAAAATGTTACCCAAGGTTCTGTCACCATCATGTGGTTTCAAATGCACTTTTTCATCTGTGCAACTCAAAGGAGATGTTGCTGGCCGAGGCTTTAAGTGACCTTTTAGGATGCTTTTTGTCATTTTTGGAGAGCAGCGTGAACGTTCTGTTAAACATCTCCATTTGTGCTCTACATGAAGCAGCATGAGAGTGAGTAGCTGATGCTGAAGTGTCCTGTTTCACTGAAGTATCTGTCATCAGTGTTTCTCTTAAAAATAATGCATTACAGTATTGCTTTACTTTGTTACTTTTTATGGAAAGTAATGCATTGTTACTTTTTGTCACCTGAGCTGGGCTTGTTTGTTTTTTAAATAACAAAAACCCTAAAAGTCATATTTGTGGCAACTGTAAAAAGGCCCTTTCACAGCAAAAGTGAACTGAATAATCCTCCGTCTGAAGGAAGAGTCTCTGTCTCTGCACTCGCTCCTGATTTCTCAGTCGATACATGGCCGTGTTTGAAGTCGTTGTGTAAATGCTGGTAAACGCACATCTATTCCATTACGTGGAATCGATTATTCCTGGTTTTATTAATATATTGAACTGTTTTGCTTGGTTCTCTGATGTCATTTTGCCACAGTTTGGTCAAAGCAGTAAACCGCAGGACGCTGTGGTCAGTGTCAAAAAATTATTGCTTTGTGTTTCTGACAAAATTGTTATTTGTAAATGTTTTGTTTAACATTTGTTGTCAGCAAATATGAGGAAGATTTTTCAAACAATATCTGTGAAGCTATTTTATTGGTTCAGAAATCTGAGAATCAAACGACATTTTTTGGTTTCCTCCAAATTATTATTTTTTTGTCACAGAAAAAAAAAATAGAAAAGGACATTTTATATCACTATTACGTTTTTCTTCCTCAGAATTGCAAGCTTAGGTCTCACAATTCTGACTTTATATCATAATTTTTTTTTTTTTTTGTCTTGCAATTTTGTTTATTTCAGTTATTGTTAATATATTGAACTATTAAACAATATCTGTGAAGCTGTTTTATTGGTTCAGAAATCTGAAACCATGTTTTTGATCCACCAAATCTAAGCTTCGTCTGTATCTGAGCCAAACAAAAATGAATCGTGAGAAGCAGAAAACCTGTCCGAAGCTGTACATCAGAGATGCTCTGTGGATCCGTGATCTTCTGCTGACGTTCTTCAGTGCACGTCTGGCTTTGGGTGAGTGTTTGTTTATCTGTTTTCATCTCAGAATGACTCTCACATGAACCGTAGTTCAGATACGACTCAGATCAAGATTTCTGCTCTACATCAAGAGTCTCATGAGAGCAGAGTTCCAACCAGAATCACGTTTTGCTTCACAAGGTAAAACTCTCAATTATTTAATGTCTATTAAGCACATATACCCCCAAATTATCATTACTGTAATGAATACAGATGAATATAGACATTATTTTTGTCATTTGCATTATTAAAATATTCAACATCAAGAAGATCAAGCCCTTTCTTTCAGAACATGCTTCACAACTCCTTGTTCAAGCTCTTGTTCTGTCCAAAAAATGTCTGTAAAAAAAATCATCACTGAGAATAGTCGGTTTTATTGTCATAGTTTTTAAATGAACGCAGAACAACACCATGGTGTATATAAATACTGTGCAAAATATTTATGAGCAAAATGTCATTATAAAACGCATATTTCCGGTGCTTGATTCTGATTGGCTAGCTGTTGTAAATTACTCTACAAACATACACCTTTGTTTACATTTGTGTGTTGCTCGGCAACCACTTTGTTGCAACCACAACTGTTTCTGAGGAGCTACATTGTTTGGTGGAAGAATACTGTTTTTATTAATATCATTACACTTTATTTGCTCAGTTTTATTTTGTGAAACCTTACTACGTATATGGAATAACCGTTTTATAAAAGCAATAAGCCCCGTGAAGCCGTGGTTTACAGTGAATTTATAACTGCTAAGGGGGTTTTACGCCACTTCGCGTCGTACCTAATAACGACCCTTAGCGGTTATAAATTCACTGTAAACCATGGCTTCTTGGGGCTTATTGCTTTAGTTTAACATTTTGTGCTTAATCGTCATGACGGTGATAGAAATGGTTCTTAAAATTGGCTTTAATTATTATTTTGTGTTATTGGTGAAACCAAACACTTTCTGAGAGACCGACTCAACAGGAAGTGAAGTCGTAGGTTTGTTGATGGACGATTGGAAGCTCTTCAGTATTGTTGTTCCTCTTCTGCTGCGGTTTCAAACCAATCATTCAGAAAAGTCTATGAATACAGTGAGAGGAAAAGGCCAGATTGTCCAGAATCAGCAGAACGGCGCTGCTTCGTCTCTGGCGTGTGACCTATGACTCCTCACACGCCTGTTTCCATGGCAACAAGCCCAGTTCCGTTCCACAGAAAATCACCTTCAGCGCCGGTTTTGTTTAATGTGTTCTGTAATATTTCATTATATGTGATATCTAGCTGACAGCTTTATGTCCATCAGAGTATCTGTGCTCCAGATTAAACATCGAGTCATTAATAGAACGTTTCTTCTTCTAGCTTCCTAGACTGTATATAACTCATTTATTTTTAAACTATGCAACATGCTTCTCTCAGTTCGTTTTTGGAGGTTAAAGTAATGGTTCACCCTGAGCCTTTTCAAGACGTCATTTTTGTTTCCAAACAATTCCAAATTCCAGATTTCAGTCATTATGGTGTAAAAGCAATCATTTATTTTAACATACATGTATATGTCTCATTCGCCTTGATATTAGCTGACAATTTAAATCGGTCAACCTGATTGTTTACATTTTTTCCCCCCCAATGAACATGATTTTTTTGCATTAAACCAACAAAAGTACCTTTATTGCAAAGGAAATATAATTTAAAAATGGCACTTCAGAGTGATCTAGATGTACATATACAATCACGTACACCTACCCCGCGTTCTCGATGCTAAACATGATCTGGATGGAATAAATGATACAAGACACGTTTATGACCCTAATAGTTATATGAAAACTGAGATATTGATCGCTGATCATCTTAACATCGATGTTTTAATAACAAGGACTCATGATGTTCTGGACTCATAAAACCGAGACCCTCATCAAGGTTGAATCGCTTCAGTATGATTGATGAGTATTGATGAACAGTGCATTGTGGCATATATTGGATCTCTGTTAAGTTCTGCTGCAGGTCAATCCATCCCCATGACCAGATCTCAACCTTCACTGTCACTGAAAGTGTTCTAGTTCTGTTTAATTAGAAATGTTCAGTGCTGATTTTAACTGAGTCTTGGCTGGAATGTGACTCAAAGCACCAAACGGCTGCAGTTTGTTTCACAGTGAAAGCTAGTTTGACTGCAGATCCGTGTTTCTATGTTTAGTCCCTTGATGAGATGAAGTTATATGAGGGTTTCTAGCGTAGGATGGATGTGTTCACACGGTTTAAACTCTTACATTTACTCTGAAGTGTGTAATTTCTGGCACCAAACAGATTTACTGAAATAATGACTGTTTGCCGATGGTCAGCATACCAGGGTTTATACTTGACTCTGTGTTTTACTGAGTTAGTTACAACACACCTCACTCTTTACGTGTGTGTATTTATTGCTAATGTTCCGTTAGACGTCATGCTTGTATTCATCCCGTTTCTTACTCTACTGAAGTAGAGTTATGATGTTTGCTGTTCTTCTTCCACAGAAACTGTGCTGGTGCTCAGCTTCGGGATCTATAGAACTCACTCAGAACTGAATGACGAGCACAAGCTGCCCACAAACAATCATGGCCAAGTCTTTCAAATTCATAGTAATGCATTCTCCATTCTGGATTGCAAAAAGAAAGTGTCTAGTGCCGTAGTGCAATGTGACAAACATGGAAGCAGGGGGTGTGTGTTTGTTAATTATAATGGCCGAGATCTAGATCTGCGTCACTGTTGCTATCGAGTTCTTGTTCTTTACGCGATGAGAACATTAGTTTCCCAGCACCAGCACCCTATTGGTGGAAAAGGAGTTACTGACATCCAAAAAAACAGATCTGAATTTTTTTTTTAAAGTGTACATCGGTCAGTTTTCCAACAGGTGGCGCTGTACCATTTCAAACATGATCCAAACTATTCTGTACAAGAACGATAACTATAACATTAACTATATTAGCATCCACACCAACGTTCTGTTTATTCTAAGCACACACTGCAGTTTCTCGTCTAGTCTGACTAGCGTGGATCCAACAGTGATGTGGGACACATAAGCGAGTAAAGGCGTTTTTACCACTATTGCAATGTCTGAGCCAGACCGTTTGATATATACTGACTATTTATACATTTTTAACCCAAAGGACCCATTTTCAGAGTACCTCACAGCAGCGTCAATCTGCTATTTGAATAAACGATCATATCAGTGGGCGTTTACTTGCGA